GCGATCCGTTGCCAGACACGGAAAAAGACAAAAGACAAAAAAAAAAAAAAAAAAAAAAGAAATATAGGATTTATTATGGACTATTCATCAGAATGTTTGAAAATTACTTTGAAAAAAAGGCAGGAAAAAATTACTCATATTCTTGCCACCTACAATTTGGCAAATTATTCTTCTATTTATTTTTCTTGAAAATGCTTTTAAAAATGATTGCGGTCATACTGCATGTATATTTTGTATCTCACTTAATCTTCTTAAATTACAAATACAAAACAAGTTTGTTTTGACCTGTACAAAAGCACTTAAAAGAAAAATGGCAGGTTTCCTGTTCTACTCTGTTCCCCCTTCACTCCATAAATGCATCTCCTGGTGAGTAGCCTTTAAAACTTTTTCCTTTGCATCTACAGACACAAAGGTATCCATGCATACATGCATATATGCAGAACTACATACTATTTAAAACAAAAATGGTCAAATTGCATTGTGACTGCCTACTTGATATTAATCAATTTTTTAAGCTATGATAATGGAATTGTAATTATACTTTTTAAGAGTCCTCATTGAGAGAAACATGCTGAAGTATTTGTGGGCAATATGATAGGATATTTTCTCTAAACTAATGTATGGTGGGAAAGGGTAGATAAGACAGTAGATGAAATATGATTGGCCACAAGTTGGTAATGGTTGGAGCTGAGTAATTCAATATACTTCCTCTTTACTTATGAATGTGTTTAAAATTTTCTGTAATTACAGAAAGAGAGAGATAGAGTTAAGTGTCAGGAAAAGAATTAGATCATGCCATTCATCTCAGTAACATTCTTGTTAACAACATGCCTTAGAAATCTTTCCCTGTCTGAGATCTAAGGAGACAAAAAGCACTAAGAATCTATAAATCTCAGCATCCGACTGGGCCCAGGCCTCATGGTTCAGCCACCTCTCCTCTAAGAAACCATTTTGAGCAGCGCTGTCTGAACCTGGGGCTGGCTGCCTGACCACTGCCCCTTCTTCCTGAGCAACTTTCGGGGCTACAGTGTGGTAGCCTGTGTGAATGGTACCCACCGGAGTTGTGTGGTGCCTTCATGGTGGTGGACGGCAGGAATGTGAGCTAATCCTTTGCCGTCTGGAGTCCTCAGTGTCTCATGCCACAGGGGCGTTGCAAATCCATCAGAGATGCAGACGCATAGCCTTTATGTTAACATTCTCTTCTCTTGCTGTTGGTGGACGTGGCTAAGGCATCACAGAGCTCATTCCCACAGGTCTGGGCTCAGCCTCAGATTCACATGCCATCACTAAGACAGCTGAATTGCTGGGTGAGGTGAAACCATTCTTAGATGAGAAAAGCTCATCTGGCTCATCCAGCCGGTGTTTGTGTCTTACAGCCCCAAGACTAGTGTCTATGAACTCCTCTGTCACAGGGATGGGTTTGCCATCAGGCGTGAAAGAAAAAGACAAGGTGAGTGGGACCACCTTCTAAGATATTGCATATGGGAGTTGAAGTGCCCTGTAGGGGACAGTCCCTTACATCAGAGAAGGGTTGGGTTTTGAGTAATTGCCTAGCCTCAAATCTCTTCCTCTGTCACTAGCTGTGGGATTTTAGTTAGTCCCTTCACCTCTCTGGGCCTTAGTTTCCTTTTCTGTAAGATGGGGTTGATGACTACTGCATGGGCCACCAGGCACATATGCACGTGGGATAGGCAGTTTCTTTCCTCCTTCATCGCTGCATTCACCTGTTGATGCAATAGACCTTTACTGATCCGTGTTACATTCCAGGCACTGTGCTAGGCAGTGGAGATGCCATACTGAATGAGACACCTGCAGTTCTGAAAACTCCAGAAGCATTTTCTAAACCGGACACTGCTTAGAAAGTAGAATATCATTCTTGTAGACAATGAATTAAAAAAAAAAAGAATTATTATTTTCTGATAATCCATAAAGCACTGGTATACATGTAAAGGATTATGCCCCTGAAATTGCCAGCAGCATTAGCAACAATTGTGTAAAAGTAATTATGAATAATGATAATATCCACAACAAACTGCTGCTTTCCACTTAGGAAGTAACTGCTATGTCCCAAGAACTATAATTCAGTTCTCACGACACCTCTGTAAGGGGAGAGGGGAGGTACCTTTTTTTTTTAGACCCACTTTAAATATGAGGAAACAGAGACTTAGGAAGTGGTTCTGGTGCTAGCGGCCTATGCTTTTCACTAGCCATGCCATGCTAGATGTGTCTGTTACTCATTCTCTGTAGGCAAATACCGAGAAAGCCGGCAAGATGGGGAACTCCATGCCACACGCTGCCTCCAAGGAGGTGGTGGCCCACCTCCTCTCTGGGAAGTCACTCAGAAAGTCAGCAGAGCCCTCGGCAAATACCGTCTTGGTCTCAGAAACTGAGAAGGAGGGCGGGGTCCCAGCCCTTGGAGCTGCTGCCAAGCGTGGTGAGAAGCCCGTTCCTCTAGGAGCCAAGCCCCAGAGTTTAGGCTGGTGCAGCAGGCCAAAGCCCTGCTTTGTCAGGCTCTGGGACATTCTGCAAGTCAAAGGTTTGTCTCCATGACAGCAAGGGTCCTGCACCTCAGGTCATTTTCCCCTCCCCTAGCCGAGGGGGGTTCCGCTGCCAGGACGCCACCTCAGGCTTTTCACAGGGAGTCTGAGCAACCTGGGTAGTGACTGGAGCATTTTCTGGTTTATTACTCTGGTGGGTTACAGGGACCACTGTGGCGGCTTAGAGACTAAACAGAAAGGCTTGGGTTTGCCTATGTTTCTTAATGTGGAATAGGCATTTGCCCTGCTTGCCTCAGTGGATAGGATGGTGGGTGGCAATTTTGTAAGCTGTCAGCTGCAGTGCATATTAGCTGGGTTCTCTTCTAGCCCTTACCAGCATCTCAGAGGTGTGCAGGAAAATGAGGATTATGATAACCTTGGGTGGGGGAGTTTCAAGAGAGGATGGGTCTATATCTCCATGCATGTGAGGAGTGAGTGCTTGGTACTTGGCTGTGATTAGCAGCAGGCAGGGTTTGGGGTACTGGGGAAGGAAGGCAAGTCTGGAAAGGGTGTCCCTCAATCCCCTCTGTCAATCCCTCAGGGATAGCATCAGCAGGCCAGGCCGACAGCTCCAGCGAGGACACCTCCAGCTCAAGCGATGAGACAGACTTGGAGGTAATTGCCAACCATCCTCAGAAGTTGCCCTCTTCAAGCTTCTAACTCTCCCAGGAGCCTGGCTGGGACTTCAGACACCAGTGGGCCTAGCTCTGTTGAGTACCTGTGTCAGGGTGACTAGGAATCGGAAAGGCTGTAGCTGGGAGGGGTGAGGAGAGGAGCCCTGCTCACAGTGTGAGAAGGATCCAGGACACGGGAGAGGCACCATCCTGCCTGTGAGGCACAGCAAGGCTTCCTGGGAGAGGGGGACCTGGAACAGTGGGCTTCGCTGGGAAGGGAGTGGGAACAGGAAGAGAGGCAGGAGCAAAAGCCGGGTTGGGGGCAAGATGTGGCTTTCATGTGGCGTGGTCAGGGCTAAGGCTACTGAGAGGGTCCTCACTGGTAAACCCAGTCCTAGGCACTTGGCCAGAGTTGGGCAGGACTCTTTCTGCACCCTTGTCTCTTCTCTGAACTTTGACTTGGGAGAGGTTCCCCACAGGTCATTCCTTGTTGTGTACCTACTGAGTGCCAGGCCTTAGGAATACAGTGGTGAGCAAGATGGACTGGAGTGCCTGCTGCCATGGGCAAAGAGAGGGTCCCTCTGATGTTTAACTGCAATGGTGATGGTTGCTGTGAAGGGAAAATGTCAAGTGCCTTGAGTAGCTATGCAGTGCCCTGACACTGATGGACAGGCACAGGCAAAGGGACAGCGTGTGCAGAGACAGAGGCAAAGAAAACTTGGTGCTTTTAAAGCACATTAATCTGTAATTTTGTGAATGAGGGGCAAAGTGATATAAGATGAGGTCACAGGTGGGCCGGGCCAGATCCACTGCCTGACCTTGAGGACCACCATAAGGAGTTTGGGCTTTATTCTAGGGGCTGTGAGAAGCCACTGCAGGGTTTCGAGCACAGAGATAAAATGGCCTGATTAATGTTTCACAAAGATTGCTGGCCACAGCCTGGGTTGGAGGACGGTGCAGGATAAAAGCACTGAGACCGTTTGGGGCTGTTGGAGTAGTACTGGCAGAAGATACTGGTGGCTGGAACCAAGGTGTCAAGTTGGAAAGATGTTTTAGAGGGAGAAGCAGCAGGAGTCAGGGATGGATTAATCTGGTGCCCAGGGTCCTTTTCACCTTGCTGTCCTGCCTCACCCGGTAACCCTGTGAAGGTTAGGCCATCACCCCCATCTACCCAGGCCTGGTCGTGGGCCACAACCCACCTTCTATCCTCATCTTTGGGCCCTGGATACAGCCAGCCATGAGGACACCCCTGGCTCCTATCACCCCAGGTCTTGCCAAAGGAAAGGGGACCACTCCTGCCCTTGAGAAACCAGCCCCTAAATACACAGCCTCAGTGGACCAGAGGCTGGCACAGAGGTTCAGCAGCAGTGAGGAGTTTGGGGTTGACACAGATGCCCCAGAAACCCAGGGTCAGGTGAGGGCCAACAGATCATGGAGGGAGAGGTGGGCACTGACTACTTTAGAAAAGTCAGAATGTTGGAAGTCTGAGAAAGAGCTCACAGAAGAAAGGAATGTGCCCAAGGTATTTCAGCAAGCCAGTGACAGGACTGGCATTCAGACCCTGGACTCCTGGCCCTCAGGATGGCCACCATGATCAGATCCTTTATCTGAAGGGGCAGAGGAGGGTGAGCTCTGACTGAGAGAGGCTGCCCACCTCGGGCTGAACTCGTGTGTGCTGGGCGGGAGCCGAGCCCAGTGGCTGAGAGTTCTGCCCCAGACCACACAGCCGTGGGTTTCAGGTGGGCCTCTGGCCCTTCGTATCGATCTTGAGTGATTTAGCCTCTCCAAGCCTCTTGCACTTTTCTGGAAAATGGGTGTAAAGATTCTATCTGTCTCAGGGAGTTATTTGAAAATCAAATGACACTAGGAAAAGGCTTTATAAACTGTGAAATGCCTTATACACCTAAGGGGAAATGGTTCTGTTTATTGACTACATCCATCCTCTTATTCCAGGTGAAACCATCAGTAAAACCAGCACAGGTGAAAGCCTTGCCAGCCTCTACCAAGGAGATGCCAGCAAAAAAGGCAGCCCCGACCCCTGGGAAGGTGGGGAATGTGACACCCCAGGGCAGAGGAAGTGCCCTGGCCCCAGCCGGGAAGGCCAAGAAGCCAGAAGAGGAGTCGGAGAGCAGCGAGGAGGAGTCTGAAAGTGAGGAGGAGGCCCCTGCAGGGACATCCAGCCAGGTGAGCCTGGGAGAGGCTGCCCCTCAGGGGCTCTGCTGGTCCCCCAGCAGCCTGGGGGCTCTGCCATGGCCCCCAGATGCTGGTGGAGTTGCTGTGTATTGAACACCTCTGCCAGAGAAGATTCACCCTGGGGTCTGGGAGAGGGAGGAGAGCAGTGTGCCCACTGAAGAGCAAGGAGAGCTGTGCTAGTGTGCTTCAGCCACCTGTGGGAATGACCCATGTGGCCTACGCTGAGGGAATGGCTCCTCCTCAGAGGGGATCCTACACTCCCCTCTGTCGTTGATCACTCCACTTTGTCTCAGTTTCCCTGTCAGTAAATGGGCTGCTGTCCTCATCCTAGCTAGTACTCCTGTGATGGGATGTAATAAGTTTTAATTGCCTGGTCCTCTGGCTTCTCAGGCCAAATCAGACCCTAAGCAAGCAAACACCATGTTAGCCAAAGCGAATCTGGTTACCTTCCTCCATTTGCTCAGACCCTTTCCCCAGGGAGTAGCCAGGTCTGCAGTCCCCAAGGCTCTGGGTGCATCCCAAGGGCAAGCCGTCGGGGCTGGAAAGCTATTGGGATCAGAGCAGGGAGGAGGAAGAGTGAGGGTAACAGGCCTGTGCCTGTGCCCACAGAGCTCTCCACTGATGGGAACTCAGAAGGGGACAAGCTGTAACTACCCTGTGTGCTGGGGCAGCTGAGGAGGCAGTCCAGGGGTGTCAGGGAGAACTGCCATGAGGAAGTGGTTTCTGTCAGACCCAGAGGCTGAGGAGGTGGTAGCCCGGTGAAGTGAAGCAGGGGGCTGGAGGGCCTCAGGAGTGAGAGTGTGAAGCTGATCAGTTTTTTTGGAGCCAGAAGGAGGCCAGCTTTGCTGGACGGCATTCAAGGTGGGGAATGGGGAGAGAGGCAGGGGACTCTTATGAGCCCCATTAAGGCCTCAGGGCTTTATCTACTGAAAGTGTCACCAGAGGGTTTTCAGAAGGAGAACAAACTGCCCTTTTTCTTTTACTTGGTAAAGGCCTCTGAGAAAATTCTCCAGGTCAGAGTTGCTTTGGCCTCTGCCAAGGGGACCCCTGGGAAAGGAGCTACCCCAGCACCACCTGGGAAGACAGGACCCCTAGCCTCCCAGGCCAAGGCAGGGAGGCCAGAGGAGGCCTCAGAGAGCAGCAGTGAGGAGTCTGACAGTGAGGAGGAGACGCCAACAGCTGTCCCGCCGCTTCAGGTGAGGACCAGGATGGGAGACTCGAGGCATGCCTCAGACCCCCGCAACTCACCCCTCCTAACCGGTGGTGTCATTCACCCTACCGGGAGCTCTCCTGTGTCCCTGAACATGTCCAACCTCTGGGCTTCCTCCCCTCATTCTTTTTCCCACTCTAGGCAAAGCCCTCGAGGAAGACCCCCCAGGTCAGAGCTGCCTCAACCCCTGCCAAGGAGTCCCCCAGGAAAGGGGCTGCCCCAGCACCGCCTGACAGGACAGGGCCTACAGCTGCCCAGGCTCAGGTGGGGAAGCGGGAAGAGGCCTCAGAGAGCAGCAGCGAGGACTCAGACAGCGAGGAGGAGACATCAGTGCCCACGAACCTACCCGTGAGCCCTGTTCAGGTGAGACTGGAGGACGTCCTGCCTAGGAAGGCCTCCTGTGGACTTGTACTCCCCCATGCCTAGAGCCCTGGGCAGCTGCACTTGCTCTCCTCACTGCCTGTGTCTTCACACACAGTTTCCTTCTGGGCTCCCTCCACTGACCCTGTCCTTTTGTCGCTCCTAGGTGAAGCACTTGGGGAAAAAAACCCAGGTCAGACCTGCCTCTGCTGTGGGTGTGGGATCCTCAGGGAAAGGTGCCAGCCCCATGTCCCCCGGGAAGGCAGGGCCCACAGCCCCCTTGACCCAGGCAGGCAAGCCGGAGGAGAGCTCAGAGAGCAGCAGTGAGGAGGACGAGGAGTCGGACAGCGAGGGCGAGGTACCCACAGCTGGGACCCCGGCCCAGGTGAGGCCCCTTACTATAAGGCTGTTCCCTATCAGTGCCAGCAGCCCTGCATGGCCCCAGCCCCCTGCTGTCTTTCACACTGGGACTCGATTTGCTGCTTGGTCTGTTGTCTCTGCATACATCCACTATTTGCCCTTCCTGTCCTGCTCCTCTGTGTCTTGCTCCAGGCAAAGCCCTCAGGGAAAATCCTCCAGGTCAGACCTGCCTCAGGTCCTGCCAAGGCGCCACTGAGAAAAGGGGCTACTGCAGTGTCCCCTCAGAAGGCAAGGCCTGTGGACACCCAGGTCAAGGCTGAGAGGTCCAAGGAAGACTCAGAGAGCAGCAAGGAGTCATCAGACAGTGAGGAGGAGGCGCCAGTAGCCAGGACTCCAGCTCAGGTGAGGCCTGGGGGAGGAGGCCAAAACACAGCATGACTCGGTCAGCCCTCCAGTCAGCCCTACAGGAAGCTGTGCGGCTCCTCAGTCTCCACCCCAGAACAAGATGGGGGCTCTGAATACAGAAGCCTTCTCCAGCCTCTGTCTTTGGTGTCCCCTCAGGCAAAACCAGCTCTGAAAACTCCTCAGACCAAGGCCTCCCACAGGAAAGGTCCCCCCATTATCCCCACATCTGCCAAAGTCACCCTAGTGCAAATGGGCACCCCAGCCCCCTGGAAAGTGGGCGTAGCGACTTCTCAGAGGCCACAGGAGGATTCTTCAAGCAGCGAGGAGTCAGAGAGTGAGGAGGAGACCGCTCCTGTGGCAACAGCAGGACAGGTGGGGCCTGCCTTTGCTTGGCTGACCTCAGGGCTGGCCCCACCGTGATCCTCTGGGTTTCTATGAGACCCCTCTCTTCCACCTGTCATTTCAGGTGAAGTCTCTGGGGAAAGGTCTCCAGGCAAAAGCTGCCTCGGTGCCCACCAAGGGGCCCTCAAAGCAAGGGACCACTCCAGTAGTCCCTGGGAAGACAGGGCCTGCAGTTATCAAGGTCAAAACTGAAGCACACGAAGACTCAGAGAGCAGTGAGGAGGAATCAGATGATGAGGCAGCGGCCACGACTCCAGCACAGGTGAGGCCTAGGGGAGAAGCCAGCCTATCCTGCCCACACTTGGGCCTGGGCCAGGGCTGAGGACAGACTCATCTGGGCAGCTCTGGCTCCCAGGTGTGCAGAGCCTCAGGAGCAGTCTCACCCCTGCCTCATTCCCCACTTGCCACTCCGCATCTCCTGTGCCCATCAGAGCTGCAGGGTCTCCTTCCTGGCCTTTTGAGTTCCCACTGAGATGCTCTGTGCTTTCCACGGGCTCTGTTCAGTTCCCACTCTGCCAGGTGCTGTCCTGGTCTGGGGCTACTGCAGCCCTGGCCCTCAGGGAGCTCCCACCTAGTTGGGGCATGGCCATGTACACAGGTTATTCCAGCAAGGAGTGACAGGGTTGAAAGCAGGGGTGTGCACCTGGGCTAGCAGAGCATGACAGGTGACAACATCTAAGGGCTTTTCAGGAGGAAGTGGCATCTAAACCGTGGCCTGACAAGAGTTGGCCAGGTGAAGTGGAGGGGTAGAGTGTTCCAGGCAGATAAAGCAGCCTATGCAAAGGCCAGGGGATGGGAGAGTGCCTGGCTCAGGTAACTTGCCACAGGCAGCCATTCTGGTGGGATCACACTGGTGTGGTAGGGGCGAATGGCAGGGGGATTAGAGCCAGACTTCCTGGGTTTGAGTCTGAGCTGCACATCTTAGCAATATGTAATCTTGCCCATCTTAGCAAGATGTGATGTAATTCAGTAGAGCCTCTGTTTACTCTTCTGTGAACTGGAAATCAGCACTCACAGGTTTGGGGGAGATCTCACCTGCCATACCCAGCAAGGAGCCTGCACACAGCAAGCGCTCTCCTCCGTCACCCCGAGAGCGGGCCAGGCTCACGCAGAACAGAATCAAGAGACAGGCCTCTAGCCTGGACGAGCTGGGGGCACAAGGATAGCCCACTCCCTACACACCCACCCACTGCCGATTATTTTTAATTGCCACTCTTTTTTTTTTTTCCAATAACCACTCAGGAATTAGTCATTTCTTTTTTCCCTGTACCAGATCACACATTTCTGTGGACCTTTCAGTCCCCGCTTGCTACCAACCTGTGGGCTCCAAGGTCCTAGGATTCTTCTGTTGCAGTTTCAAGCTATGCAGGGGCCCCTTCCAGTGTCCCAGCCCAGCACGCTCCTCTCCCCTTTTCTCCCAGCTGCAGATGCACGTTTCAGACCCAATCCCTTTCAGAGTCTCATTGTGCAGGTCATTTAAATGTTTGTCTTCCCATCTGGGCCTCCCACCTGTCCCATGAGGTAGTTGTTTTATTTTTATTCTTTGAACCATAGGTTATTTAAAAGTGAGTTGTTTAATTTCCAGATGTCTAGGATTACCCAGGTGTCTTTCTGTTGTTGATTTCTAATTTAATCATATTGTGGTTGGAGAACATACTTTGCACGGGTTCAGTCCTTTTGTATGTATTGAGACTTGTTAGGTCAAGTTAGTCTTCATGTCTTTTATTTCACTTTCTTACATCTATGTGAAAGACATGGTCCCCCTCTGGATGACTTGGGTGCTGTGCTGACACCCCAGCCTTAGTCAAACACGGTCTACGCTTTAGGGAATTTTCCTTCTTGAAGTCCGTTCTATTCATTTCACTTGGTTTCATGTGCATGCAGAACACTGTGGGGTAGAGGTGTCTTTTGACACTGACCGATGACATCTCTGAATGAGACAGGGGCTTTGAGATCCTGTCAAATTCCTCATTCTGTTTCACATTAGCAGGGCTTGCTATCACACTGTTGTTGAGGTTCTCACTCAGGGAATTTCTGTCTTTGTTGCTCTCATCTCTCTAGATCCGTATTTGCTAGACTCTAAGAGGCATTTTGGGGATTCTGTGGATGTCAGTTAAGAATAGGTTAAGCTGAAGAAAACCTCAAACAACAGTGGTTTTCTGTCTTGTTGTGCCATCCTCAGTACCTGGCTCCTGCCTCACAGCCTGAGATGACTGCTTGAGCTCCAGCTATTATCTCAGTATTCCAGCTAGCAGGGAAGAGAAAGAGACATGTTTCCTGCCTCTTATGGCACTCAAGTTTCATTAACAAGAATTTAATGACATGGCTACCTACCTGAAAGGGAGCCTAGAAAACACCTTTGTTCTGGGCAGTTTTGTATGTAGCTAACACTAAGAAAGGTGCTTGTAATAATGGGTTTATTTGAACATTTATTATGTGTCAAGTACTATGTTAAACACTGAATCTCCTACTTAACCCTCACAATAACCCTGTAGGTAAGGCTTATTATTATCTCCATTTTATAGAGAAGGAAACTGAGGCCCATTGAGATCAAATGATTTGCTCAGGTTCACGTGACTATTAAGTGGAGTTGCCAAAATCCAAACCCAGGCATCTGATTCCAGAATGAGCACTTTTGGCTAACTGCTCTACTCTATCTCACCTTCTCCCTTCTGTAATTCTCTTTTCTCCTTCCAGGTAAAAGCCTCAGTGGAAACCCCTCAGGCCAAAGCCAAACCAGCTTCCACCAGAGCGCCTTCCACCAAAGGGACAATGTCAGCTCCTGGAAAAGTCACTGCAGCTGCTCAAGCCAAACAGGGGTCCCCAGCCAAGGTAAGTGGGGCCAGAAGCCACAGGAGGTGTCAGGGGTCAGGGCAGAGAGGAGGACCAAGCAGTGACCCAGCTTGGACAGGGCCCTGCACGGGTGGTGGTGACCACACAATCATACTGTGTGGGGAAGTTTAACTAAAAGGAATCCTGCTGTTCACTTCCTTCTCCAATACCATTATCTCCTGGCAATTCAGGTAAAACCAGCAGTGAGAACCCCCCAGAACAGTGCCGTCTTGGTGAGGGGACAGGCGTCTGTGTCAGCTGTGGGGAAGGCAATGGCCACAGCAGCCCAGGCCCAGACTGGGCCAGTGAGGGGCCCAGAGGAGGACTCGGAGAGCAGTGAGGCGGAGTCGGACAGTGAGGAGGAGGTGCCAGCTCAGGTGAGGCCGGGAAGGGAGGCAGCACTGTGCTTCCCTCTGTGTGCCGCAGGCCCCAGACCCTGCGGGGGCACAGCTGCATCTGCCCCATCAATCTCCTGTGTCTCCTCACACATCCACCCTCTGGGTTTCCTACATTCCAGGGGAAGCCCTCTGGGAAGACCCCCCAAGTCAGAGCCACCTCAGCCTCTGCCAAGGAGTCCGCCAGGAAAGGGGCTGCCCCAGCGCCCCTTGGCAAGACAGGGCCTGCAGCTGCCCAGGCCCAGCTGGGGAAGCAGGAGGAGGACTCGGAGAGCAGCAGCGAGGACTCAGACAGTGAGAAGGAGATGCCAGCAGCTGTGATACCGGCCCAGGTGAGGCTTGCCAGACCCCTGAGCCATCGCCACCATGCTTTCGTCAGACTTGGGTTCAGGGCCAGCTGAGAAAGGAAGACCTGGTGAAGGCTCTGACTCCAGTATCCCTTCTCCCAGCTGCCGTCATCCACAGCCTCCCCGGTGAAAGGTGTCCTAGGCATTCCTGTATCTCTCAGGGCCTCCACAGCATGAGCGGGCACACTAGCCCCGTGGAGGGCCAGGCCAACAACTCCCACCACAGCACAGGAGGCCAGGAATCCAAAGGTGTCCCAGAATCATGAGGAGGCTTGGGCTGAGATGCAGGTACCAGGAGGCCCTGGGGAGGTGGAGGAAGTCACACCCCTCTCCTGGGCCAGGGGTCTCACATAGGTGGTGCATCTCCCAGTGCAGGCTTATCTAGCTTATTGTGAAGGCCGGGCCCAGGGGAGTGGGCAGAAAGAGGGAGTGAGAAACTGTCTTTTATCTGGATGATTTTCCTCTGCCAGCTTGCAGAAGGCAGCAGGGCTGGCTATGTCCTGCTGAAGTTCAGGTGACAGGCTCCTATACTTACAGGGCTCAGTCAGGCATGTGATGGAAATGATTGGCACAGGCCTGGTAGAAGTGATAATTGGCAACTGACATTAAGCCTTAGTATCTGAAGGGACAGTAGGGAGTAGTAGCAACTAAGGCAAAATGGAGAGCCCTTGCCGTATCTAGAGGGACAGCCCCTATCAGCTTCTGCCAATTATGACTTTGTGGAAAGGTACCCTCGGTCAATCAGGATGTCCTAGGGTGCAGGAGAAAGCCCAATTCAAAAGAATTCCAACAGTAAGAGGATCGACTACCTTGCAGTACACAAAATCCCGGGGTCAGGCTGCTGTCAGGTGGTTCCTTCAGCAGCTCAGCATCATTGGTGACCCAGATTTCTTCTTTCTCTATGCTCCCCAGCCTCATGGTCACAGCAAGACTGCAGCTAAAGGGCTAGGAAATCACCAGTAGAGTTTCCCTCAGGTCTCGTCCAAACCTCAGGCTGGACATGCTGCACCCCCAGTCATTGATGAGGGGCCTGCGGTTCCCATGACAGGCTGGAAGGAGGGCAATCCTCCCCAAAGCATGTGGCAGGGGCCACCAGAACCCAGTCAGGGTTCTGTTAGCAAGAAAGACGCAGGGGTGTGGCTGCTGGGGAAGCAACCAACAGTTGTGCCTCGTTGTCATCTCATTTAAAAATTGGGAAATGGCATGTAGAAATCTGGATCTTCCATCTTCTCTTGAGAAACTGGAGGCTCAGGCTGCCTGGATCCCACTTTTCTGGCTGGGCTAAGTAGTGAAAAGTGGGGCTTCCACCCAGTAGGGAAGCACAGAGCTGCCTTCTGCCTTTTCCTGGCCTCCCCTGAGTTGGCGTCCCCACCAGCACCTCATTGCTATTCCTCTGGCCTCCGACTGCAGTGCCCACCAAGCCAGGCCCCCACCTCACGCCCGACATGGCAGGAGGGGTTGGCTGCCAACAGAACACTTGCAGGTGGCTCCAGCTTTTAGCTTGGGCATGTTACAGCCAGATGTGAGCTGTGCTGGGACCCCTGGTCCATGCCTTCAACCTTGTTCCAGGCTGCTGTCACTTCTCTCTCAGACCCTGGGCCAACAGCAGTGCAGCCCCCAGGTTTTAGCTGTGTCTGAGTCACACCTCCCTTTTAAGCAGGGTGGAGGCATGTGTTTCCAGTGGCTGCAGGGCATGCCGGGCCAGCAGCTGTCTCCCATGCGTGTGCGGGAAGGGGCCATCCTGCCTCCCTGGAGAGCCAGAGCCCGTGAGGGTCATCGCTCGCTGACCATGTTTCCCCCTCAGCTAACACCCCTCTCCTCACCATGTGCTTATTCAGGTCTTGACCCCTCAGAAGGACAGTAACTCCAAAACTGCCAGAAGTAAGACCCCGGGCCCGGCACCTCCAGAGAAGAATGCAGAGGAGTCCTCGGAGAGCAACGACGAGGAGCTGCCGTCGGGCCAGGTAGGCCGTGCCTTCTTTCAGAAGACACTGCAGGCTCTGAGCTGGACTGGGGGGCTTTTGTAAGGAGAGGCAGATCTTTCCAGGGAAAACATTGTCATATTTAAACAGCACTTCACAGTTTCCAGAGCTCTTTCCTCTATTTTGACCCATTCATCTTGACAGTAACCCTGTGAGGCAGGCAGCAGAGTACAGTGGAACATGCAGGCCTCAGAGCCGGGCGGCATAGGACCCAAGTCTGGCTCTACCACCTGCCAGCTCTGTGATCCTGGGCACATGGCCTTGACCATTCTGAGGCTGGGTGTGTACTGATACAAGTACATAAAGAGCACTTGGCATAGTCGCTCGTCTGATAAGGAGTGTCTGTTACTGTCAGGAGGACAGGTAGTTCTGTCCCATTTGACAGGTCAGAAATCAAGACCCTAAGAGTTGAAGCAGTTTCCCCAAGTGCCCATGATCCAGAAGAGGCTGAGGAAGGGCCCCTGGCTCCCTGGATAGCTCCATTTCCTGTTTGGGACTGGGCCCCTTCTGTGCATGGCTCTCCCCAGCCCCTGTGGCACACCTTCACATGCTGCGCTGCACCTCCCCAGACTGTGCCTCTGAAGGTGGGAACCAGCCCACCATATCTGCCTGACTGACAGAGGCCCAGGTCAGCCTGGCTGGTGTGGTCCAAGCTTCCGTGTGAACCCAGGACTTTCCGGCAGATAGCACTGCCCTCTGTCCTCTAGTCCCAAATTCTTAGAAGCTTCTGCCAAGCCCCTCAGTACTGGTTCCCCTCCCAGGGCCTAACTAGAGATGCTCGAGTCCTGCAACCCCCAGAATAGTGGGGTCTCCTTCACCATCCCCCTTTACATATCGTATACCACGTGCTTATCCTCATACACCAGTGCTCCATCACTGAAGTCAGGTGCTCTCTGGGGAAGGGATGTTCGTTGCCTTTCTCTTCGCAGTAGCGCAGATTGCAAAAATAATGAGCAACAACCACAGCTAACGCTACTGGTCACTCCCTGTGTGCCAGGCACTGTGCCAGGCACTGTGCCAAGCCCTGCACTTATGTTACCCTGTGTAGTCCCTACAGCCACACTGTGAGGGTAGGTCCTTTTGTTATTCCCATTTTAAGGAGGGGGAATGAGGCTGAGAGAAGTTGAGTGACCTGCACCAGCATCACATGGCTGATAGTGAGTGGACAGACGTGGTGTTGGAACCCAGGCTGTGGGCAGTCTGCCCCACTCCCTGGCACTGCCCATGCACTCCCCTCTCTGGGGCTTTGGCATTGCCCTCTGGTGCTCTGCGGAGCCTTTCTGAGGCTGCCTCCCTCTCTCAGAGATCTAAACAGCTGGGAGGGAGGGGGCTGCTTCGCCTTTCTCTGCGGGGGAGGACTAACACAATTAAAATGAACATCATGCTTAAACTGAACCATTTAATTGGTACGTTAGTCCTGAAGATTCTGGAGTCCCTATTTAAACAGAAGGAAAAAAGTCAGCAGTTTGTGCACTCCCTCTGGGAGGATTCAGGGAATACGGGCATAGCCTAGGGAAGCTGCAGCCTCCGCCTTGCTGGGGGATTTTTAGCTCCTTAATCCCCAGCTCACTAATTATGATTATTATCATTATTACACACTTATTGAGCACTTCTCTATTGACAAGCTTCGTTCTGTTTTTATTATTAGCCCATCAGTGGGGGAAAGGCATCAATGCCAGGGTGGTGGGCAGAGCCCATGCTGGGAGGCCCATCCTGTGGCTCCACTCCCAGGCCCCTCACTGGGCCTCAGCCCTGTGGTGCAGAGCAGCAACCTCAGGCTAGGGTCTGTGCTGGGGCCCTGGGAGGTTTGGCGGCGATGGGAGGGCACCAAATTAAAGATAAGGAAAAAAAGACCCTCCCCTCAAAGTTTCAGGTTAAGTCAGAGAGAAAAACATGTAAGAAACTAAATTTGGGTGTAAATCAAGGCCTAGCATAATTGGTCCTGGAAGGAGCTCCTGTCTGCTGCCTGGAAAACTAACTTCTGATCCTGATTTTGGCACCAGTTTGCTGATTACTCTGGGCAAGGCGGCTTGCCCTCTCTGAGCCTCAACCTTATCAACTGTTCGGGTGAGACTCCCTGGGGTGGGCCAGCCCAGGACCTACTACCCTCAGGTAGTTTTGAGAGATTCCTGGCAGAGTGATGCCTTTGCATCTGTGTCCTTGCCAGGGTCAGCAGCCTGGGGCTGCCAGCCCTCCAGCCCCACTCTGTCCCAAACTTGCTGGAATGAGGGCATAGTTATGATGATCTCAGCTTTGACTGGAGGCAGTGAGCACTGCCCAGAAAGCCCCCTGGTTTGGTTCTTCAGGCATCAGACCCAGGCAGAAAGGGAAACCTCTGATTCCCCCAGGTCCTTACTGCCCAGTGCCTACGGGGAGGTACAGCCAAATGTTCGAGTGGGGATGGTTTCACCGCTTCATTTCTGACGAGTTTTTTCTAACCGACCCCAGAAGTACACTCCTGCATGGTCTGTACCTTGCAGTTACCAAAGTGCATCAGAACCCCTCCAGCGAGTGAGCCCAGGCTGGGATTACTAATAGCCCTTTCAACATGTGGAAACTGAGACTCAGGATGTTCAGGGACCCACACAGTGAAGTCATTGCAGAGGTGCAGTTGGAGTGGGTCTTCACACTCGGGCAGTGTGGCCCACCTTTTTGAACTCTACAGGCGTAACCGTGCAGCGCTGGGCTGTGGTCCCCCTTGTGCCTGTCTCTGCCCTCTGCAGCCTGGCCCCCTGCAGCACCTCCCTCCCATGGCCACACACACACGTGCGCGCGCCAGGGTGGGGTGCGTGGGCAGGTGGAACTAGGAGGAGGCTTTTGCTGTGAGCTGCTTTTAACATCCCAAGACACTATTGTTTGCCTTAGTGGATTCATTGCCTCTCTTCGTCCCCGACAATCTGTTCCTCTGTCTTCTCACATATATATAGATCCCCCCTCCCTCAACTGTATGCCTTCTCCCACTTTCCATCCTTCTCTTTTTCATCATGTGGGAAGGAAGGCTCTGGAAGTGGCAGATCAGAGCAGCCGCGGGGGAGGCTCTTTGGCAGGGGTAGGAAGGGCCTGAGCCCAGCAGAGCTTCCATCCCAGGCAAGCACCTCTCTGCTTAACTTTTTACTTCACCTCTCAGCAGTGCCCTAGGGGGCAGGGCCGCTGAGTCATGCTCAGGATGTGTGCAGGGTGATGCGGCGGGCAGAGACCAGGTCCCAGACCTGACCGCCCCTCCCTTGACCGCACACAGCTCTCTCTCCCGCCTGCCCTGCATCTCCTCGCTGGCCAGACAGGGAACAGAACTCGAGCCAGATCTGACACTTGGGACATGGAAGTAGGCTTAACCCAGCTCCCTGGTTCGTGGCTACACGTGCTCTCCTTAGCTGGGGGTTCTGGGAAGGAAGCAGACCAGTAGTCCCCTTGCGTGCAGTGGGCATATTCAGGGGAGATATAGTTCCTAACCAGACTGGCCTGCAGAATACCAGGGAGCTGATGCTGCTGCTTTCTTTTTCTTTCACTGTTTTATTGGAAAATTTAAAGCGTACACAAAGATTGAATAATATAAAGAACCCTCACCTACCCTCCCCAGCCTCAGCAGTTACGATCTCATGAGCAGGCTGGTTTCATGCAAACTCTCCCCTCAGCTCCCCAGCACCCCTGGATTACTTTGAAACTGGTCTCAGACTGTTATCTCATCCACCAGGATTTCAATATGCAGCTCTAAATGATAAGGACGCTTTTTTTTTTTTAAAAGCACAACCACAGTATAATATCACACCTAAAAAAATTGACCTACCCTGCCCTCTTCCCCATTTCCCCAATTTTCTCATGCATGGTATTTTGAATATTTGGTGTGTGTTCAAATAAGTGTTCAATTGGGGTCACATACTGCATTGAGTTATTATTAGTCCCTTAAGTCTAAATCTCTTGGTTCTTCCCCACCCACCCACCATGAAGAAACAGGGTTGGTATAGCTGGGGAGCTGCTTCCTGGCTCACGTCTCAGGAGGTCTTCATTGGAATCTCCAGGGTGGGGGGACAACTAGACTATAAACACCAACCCAGGTGAATCGAATATTACCACTGGGCAGTTGTAGGAAACATGGCCTAGCACCCCACCTCGCCTGAGCAGGTGGCTGTCTCTGATGTCAGCTAGAGGAAAGAGGGCTGCATTGGACATTCTAGCCCTGGCTCTGAGTCCAGTAGGCTGGGGGGCCTTAGGCAGCTCTTTTCTCCTCTCTGGATTTGTGGTTTTCCACCTGTACAGTGGAGTTGATACTGCTGACCTTCAGAGTTCACTGTGAGGATCAGATCGGCTCCTGTGAACTGTGAGGTGCTGTGCTGAGTCTTGGCAGGTGTGTGGGCTGGGAGTGCCCTGGGCAGCTAGAATGGCCTCTGACTGTGCCTAGCTGCCCCCAAGTTCTTTGGACCCCTTGCCTTGTAAAACCCTCCCTTACCCCATCTTCCTCTTCCCCCGGCCAAGCCTTTAATCACTGGGGGGTGTGTTTTGTTTTTGTTTTTCAAGGTGATTAAACCCCCTCTGATTTTTGTCGACCCTAATCGTAGTCCAGCTGGCCCAACTGCTACCCCTGCGCAAGCCCAGGCTGCAAGTGCCCCAAGGAAGGCCCGGGCCTTAGAGAGCACAGCCAGGAGCTCCTCCTCCGAGAGCGAGGATGAGGACGTGATCCCTGCTTCGCAATTCTCAACTCCTGGTGAGCGCAGCCCCTGTGCGGTGCTGACTCCCCTGCGGCACCTGCTGGGCCGAGCCGGGGGGCTGCCAGCACTACCCCACATTGAGGCCCAGAAGGGAGAGGACATTAGCCAAGCTGCATAGCCAGGTGTACTCAGGAGGGGCTTGAGGCCAGGTCTCTGGGCCCTGCACTGGCCATCCTGATGAGGGATAGTTGCCAGGGCCTCTTTGCTGGCTTCAAGCCAGGAACCCAGACCAGTGGCAGGAGGCTGCAGGGACCAGGTTCCTATGCAGTAGGAGGAAGAGCTCTGTAACAACTGCCTGAACGTAGACTGGGGTGTCCCTGGTGGCATGTACAGGGGGTTAGGTAATCCCTAAGCAGAGACATTGTAGGGAGGGATTTCATCTATCAGCTGGAGACAGGACTAGATCTGGAGTTTCTTTGACTTCAGAGAATCTGATTCTACCAGTGATAGCAGGAAAATGTTAATGTTACTATTATTATTATAACACTTTTATGAGGAAATAATACCTGATACTGGTAGGATAATTAAAAAGTACAGATTAGCACAAAAGAAAAAAATATCACCTATAATCCACTGCCCTGAATAATTACTGTTAACATTTTTATAAGTGCTAACTTTGCAAAAACCTGAGATACACATGTGTGTTTTCAAAGTGAGTGAGACCACACTGTATGTAATGGTCAGTAACCTACTGGATATATTGGGACCTTGGGGGTTTTCTCTCTTTTTGGCAGCTGGCCAGTAACAGGATCTGAACCCATGACCTTGGTGTTATAAGGCTGTGCGCTTCGGCTTATTTTGTTGTTACATATTTAAGTGTGAGTCCTACTGGCTACAAAGTAGTCCTTAGGATAGACATACCACAGTTTATTTGGCTAATACCATGTTGGAGGAAGTGGAAGCTTTTGTTTTTTGAGTTTTGAGATGTTCTAAACAGTGCTAACTAACATCCATGTAACTGAGCCTCTGCAGGTAGCCAGGTTGATAGTCATCAGAGGCAGTTTTAACTGTAAGGAGAGTGGTTCAGCACCAGTGCTCCAGCCGTTGCTCAGGAGTAGCAGCCTGGCCCGCCGAGGGAGGGAATGAGGAAAGAGCTGCAGCGGCCATTTGATCTCCCTGAGCCTTGTCAAAGAACATGGTGACATCTCCTGCCTGGAGGCTTGGGAAGGGGAGTAAACAAGCTTCTAACCTGTGTAAGCCTGGAGCATGGCTCCAGGCCCCCAGGAGGGGCTGGTCAATTGGTTTATTGCCACTGCTAGGAAGGCCATGGGGCTTCTGTGCCCTGACGTGCCCCCCGTCCCACTCCATTTCAGCCATTACAACCAACATGGTGACCATGCCCACTGCTCCCTCAAAGACAGCCCCCAGAGCCAGCGGTTCTGGGGCCAACAGCTGCAAGGAGCCCAGTCGGGTATCAGAAGGCAAGAAACAGGAGGGACCAGTTGCTCAGGTACCTGGTGGGCGAGGGAAGGCTGTGCAAGCCAGCAGAATGGGGGGGCTCTTGATCTCCCACTGTTCGCTGTATCAGGCGGGGTGGGGGCTCCCACTTTCCCACTACTCACTGTGGCCAGTGGGGTGGGCGTGCCCGCTCTCCCACTACTTACCCACACATGCTGATGGGTTGGACTGCAACTATTGCCACCCACCCCCCAGAGGTACGGCCTCTCAGAGCCAGAGGCTTTCCTGGCCTTCTGGCTGCAGCCCCAACACTGGGTTCCTGAATCACCTTTGACTTGTCAGGAAGAGTAATCTGGGAACAAGGCATCCAGGAGGAGCCAGCTCTGTTCTGTGAGTCCCTCACCAGTTTTTCCAGTGTAGTTGGGCTTTTGATTTGTTTTTTCTTCCAGTTTTGAAACGCCAACAAAACTTGTCCTTTTTTTTTTTTTTTTTTTTGTCTTTTTCGTGACCAGTAAGGGGATCGCAACCCTTGGTGTGGTGTCGCTTGCACCGCGCTCAGCCAGTGAGCGTACCGGCCATTCCTATATAGGATCCGAACCCGCGGCAGGAGCATCGCTGCGCTCCCAGCACTGCACTCTCCCAAGTGCACCACGGGGTCGGCCCAAAAGTTGTCCATTTTTAGTGTTCGTGATAGTGACTTTAGCATTCTTCTCAGCCTTGCCCATTTTCAGTGCATTTTTATTTGGTCATTGCCTAAATCTAAATGCTGAGCAGGGTAGGGTTAATGGACCGTTGTTCAAACGATAAAAGTGAGCGTACACCCCCACCCAGAGAACTGTGACTTGACCAGCATTGGGCAAGGCCAGACCCTAGTCCCCTGACTCCCAATCCATTGCTCTTTGGGCCATATCCATTTGTTTTCCCATCCCACTGAGAAAGAGAAGTTTGCTGCACCCCTCACCCCCTTTTTCTGAGGGCCTGGGGTTGGCTTGAGGGAACTTGGCATCCCCGGCTCGAAGGGACTGTTGTGCCACCTGCTCACTGGTCTCATCATGAGCCACAGCCCAAGAAGAGCTTCTGGGAGGACAGGTGCTAGGTGGGTAGCTGGGTTGTGATCAGCATACCCAAAAAACCTGCAGCTATTCAGCCAGCAGATGGTACTGAGCATCTGTCCGTGCCAGGCAAAGGGGACACAGCAAGAACAAGACAGGAAGGGTCCCTGCCCTCATGGAGTTTCTAAGCCAACAGGGAGGCAGCCACTAAACAAGGAAACCAAAATATAAATGAAGCACTCACCAACCAGCAGGAGCTTTGTAGGAAACTGAATATAAGTGAGAGAATAATGGGGTGACCTGCTTTAAGAAGGATGGGCAGGGAAGACCTCCCTGAGGAGGTGACACTAAAGCAGGGGAAGCAGCCAGTTACAGTTCGAGCTGGGGGCGCCCTGCAGGCAGGGACACCATAGGTGCCAGGACCCGCTGGGGAAGTGAATGGGGTGAGGAGAACTGAGAAGGCAGGGACAGCTGGATGAGGTAGGGGCCAAGCTGTGCTGAGACCACACAGCATCTGAAGGGCAGTGAGTTCTCTCCCTGACTGCTGGTGGGTGTAGGGAATAGGAGTGGCTCCAAGCAGACCACCAGGGTAGAGACTTGTCCCTGATGAAGGCACAGATTGAGTAGTGGGGCCACCGGTGGGGCCTGAGCTGCTTCTGTCTCCTGGCCTGGGAGCTGTCTTTGTGCCCTTTGAGAACTGTGAATGGCTCATAACCTGAAACCTGGCACCCATTTTTCTGTACAAATGGTGACATTGCCCCTTTGGCTTCTACTTGGTCCCCCACTCCAGCCCCTTGGCTCCTCTTGCCTGTGAAGGGCTGTGCAGGCCAGCTGGGAGGAGACCCCCCCACCCCAGCCAGACAGGATCCGACCAGGGTATAGCATAGATGGCATTTCTGAGAACCCGTGAGTCTCAGGGCTGCCTCTCATTGTCCACAGGTGACAAAGAGGAGCCCAGCTTCCCTCCCACTGACCCAGGCTGCCCTGAAGGTGCTTGCCCAGAAAGCCAGTGCGGCCCAGCCTCCTCCTGCCAGGACCCATTGTTCAAGTGAGGTGAGCCTGGGAGCCAGGGCAAGCAGGCCCGCCCGGCTCTGCTCCCTTAGGCGAGGCTGCTTCATCTTTCTGCCCTGCCAGAGTGCAGAAGGCAGGACACAGGCATGGCCCTGAATCCCGGTGCTAGCACTTCCTGCCTGTGGCCTGTGTTTACCTCCCTGGGCCTCAGTGACCTGATGTGTGAGAAGAAGCTACAGTACCCATCTCAGAGAGTCGCAGGAGGATCAATTGAGTCCACATGTGGGACGTGCCTAGCACAGTGCCTGGTCCTACCGAGGTATTCAGTGAGCACCAGATCCTACATGCCCTAACCCTTCCACTCTTTCTCCTTTCACCAAATTAGGTTGACAGTGCTGCAGGAACACTCCCTGTGACAAGTCCTCTGAGCACCCCTGTTCAGGCCAAAGTGACCAACAAGCTCAAAAAACCCCAGCTCCCTGGGGACCAGCAGGCCACAGCCACTCCCGCGGGACGCCCCAAAACCCAAGCCCCCGGGAGCTCAGAAGACAGCGAGGACAGCAGCGACAGCTCTTCAGGGAGCAAGGATGATGCTGAAGGGCCCCAGACGGCCAAGTTGGCCCACGGGCTGGGTGAGGGGCCAGGAGGGAAAGTGAGGATGGGCCAGGAAAAGAAGAGATGTGGCCTGGCCTCAGCTCTGTCTCGACTTGTTCTGCAGCCTTGGCGCAGCCATCTCATGCTGGGCCTCAGTTTCTCCATCTGTACAGCTCCATGAGGAAGTCAGTCCAAGTGATTTCTCAGACCCGACTGCTGTTTGACCACTCTTGGCTTTTTGGTGTTAGGGAATACAAAGGGGGCCTCAGAAATTAGAAATGAAGGCTTTGGCATTCAGGCATCTTACCTGTAATGCTGGAAATGGCATTGAATTTGGCAGGAGCAATAGGAAGGCTTGGGCACGAGGGCGAGGAACATACAGAGAGACAAGGGCATCCCAGGGCCTCCTGAAGGCCGGGGCTACCTAGGACTCCCAACAGAATACCTGTGCTTCTCCAGTAGGTCCAGCCACCTCCGGGAGGGAAACCTTGGTGGAAGAGACCACAGCAGAGTCCAGTGAGGATGAGATGGTGGCACCTTCCCAGGTAACTGCAAAGGAGAAGTCTGGCAACCTCACGGGTCTTGGGGCTGGAGCCCCTGGCCAGGCTTCTGTATCCCTGATCCCTCAGGTCAGGGGTCTGGGCCCTCCCTCTTTACAGGGGCACTGGGCAAGGTCCTGTCTGTGAGATACCAGGCGGTGCTGGCTCTCCAGGTGCAGCCCAGGCAGCAGATTAGAGCCAGGCTGTCTCCTCCCCCAAAGCTCCATTCGGCAAAGAGCCACAAATAGTTAACCCTTGGTTTCTGCAGAAAGGATTGGCCTGATTCTGGGTGATCCTCAGACAAAAACAGATTTCTTCTGAGGTTACTATCTGTACACAGCAAGTGCTGGTGATTTTTTTGTTTGCATTAGTAATAAGAAATTTCCTTTTTAAGTGTGCCTGTCTCAAATGAGTATTAATTAAAATTGCTCAAAAGGTACATGCTGAGAGCCGAAGTCTCCCGCTGGGGCTCAGTGCCCACCGCTTTGCACCAGCAGGGCTGGCCTGATCCTAGAGGTCCCTGGGCTGGTTTCCTCACAGCAGGCCATTTCTCCGGGGCTGCGTGGGCTGGGGTTGTGGCCTCTTTCACACTGGGCTTCTTCAGTCTCTCCTCTCAGGACTGACCCCAGCCAAACCCCAGGCTTCAAAAGCCACTACCAGGTCAGACTCCAACCCTTCGGTTTCCTCCACTCCTGCCACCAAAGATGACCCAGATGGCAAACAGGAGGCAGAGCCCCAACAAGCAGCAGGCACCATGTCCCCTAAAACAGGTGAGTTGAGGGCTGCAGGAGGGACACTGCAGCGAGCCCCTTCTTGCCCTCCCCGAGCAACAGTCCCATCGACACAGTCCTGTCTGCCACCAGGGCCTCTCCAATGAGGCCTTGTGGCCCTACATTGGACCTGGAGGTGTTCTCAAAGTGCAGTGGCTCCCTTGGTCTGGGACAGCTGGAAGTCAGGGTTATTCCAGCTCTGGGGGGTTCTGGTGTATCTGGTAGGATAACCTCTGCCTTAGAGGAAGCAGCATCTTTTGGTTTATAGAGTAGGCCTTGGCTTTCTCTGGCTGTACCTGTTGACTTTCTTCCCAGCAGATGGGCTCTCACTGTGGGGTATAGGGACTCAGGGTAGCTTAGACAGAGGCTGGGAATCACAATTGGGACAATCTCCAGCACTTGGAGGAGACCCCAGGCTATGGACTGACCCCAGGGCTGCTCTAACTCTCTCTGTAGCCTCAGACAAGCCCCTGACCACTCAGGACTCTGTGTCTTAACCATACAAGGCAGAAGTTTATGCATCTGGTCTATATCGAGGCGTGGCACATATAGAAAATAGCCACATGGTATTTCGAAGTTAGACTGAAGTAGTCAAGTCACCAACCTGGGGCATCAGCCTTCCCTGACTCCACCAGAGCTAAGGGATGGGTATCTCAGATGGGCACACCTGGGACAGCTGTAGGGGTCCCCAGCCTTGGTGTCTGGTGGGTTTGCAGACAGGAAGCAGAGAAATGGGCTTTGGGGAAAGAGGTTGCCAGGGCAAGCTGAACTCCTCAGCTTCCCTCTCCAGACAGCTCCTGCCCTTGTAGAGAATTACCAGAGGACTGAATTGGGCCTCCATCCGTCCTGGGACCCCCTCTGCTTGGCCTGCCCTGCCCGCCTCGCCTAGCTCACCACAGCTCTGGAGCCAAAAGTTGCTTCAGACCTTACACGGGGGCTAGGGGCACTGCCAGGCTCACTGCACACTGCAGGGAGCAGTCACAAGCCCCATATGACATGGAGCGCCTTCCTGCTCCTCCTCAAGGTGAACACCTCAAGGACCAAACCACTGAGCCACCTTTCAGAGCCCAGAGCATAGGAGCTTTCTGCCCAGAAGGCCCACAGTGGGGTAGAGACCTGCCCAGGTCACCTGGGAAGGTAGAGGTGGCAACAGAACCCAGTCCCTGGGCTTTGAGTGGTGGCTTGTCCCATGCTGGGTCACAATAGTTATTGCTCACTTTCTTCCCCAATGTTCTCTTTGTGAGAGGCGGGTGTGACAAGGAGACATTTTAGAGGGGGCTGTGGAAGGTTTTTTTACACATGTAGTCAGCACACAATTATCAAAGGCAAGCAGAGGCGTGGAAAATTCTAAACAAAGGCTGCACCAGAAGTCGCTCTGGCAGGCAGTAAGCCTGCTTAGTCAGCCACCATGCACGTATACACTGCACTCAGCGCTCCCCCAAGCCGTCTGGACCCCCAGCCAAGAAGGGTCATGGGCTCTGAATGGGCATGGGTTGAGGGTCTGCATGAACTTCGCTTTAGTATATATCTAGCACTTATGAAAGGGGAACCTCACTCTTCCTTTAACCCCTTAGTTTACAAACAGGGAAACTGAGGCTCTGGAAGGAGCTGGGTTCTGGCCAGAATCGCAAGCAAGTTGATGATAAAGTCAGGCCTAGAACCCAGGTATTCTGCCTCCCAGCTGTGGACTCCTGCCCAGACAATACCATCTCCCTCCTCCAGGCCCTTTCATTGACATTCTGGAGTCGTTTTCCATCTACAGCCCTAACTTCAGTGGAGATTTTAGTGGGAGGAGAAAAAGGAAAGCTCTGAGTTAAAGTGAGATCAGGGTGTGAAGCTGGTGGAAAGGTGTGATCTTAGCAGACAGTGGGGGCACAGTGACCACTGGGCCTCGCTTTTCCCATCTGTGCCATTATAAGAGGAGGCATACTCACCCTGCACCCCCAGCTCTCACATACTGTAAGAAATCTGTCCTCCCACCCTCCTGGGTCCCTGACCCCAGTCCTCTCTCCATAGGTAGAAAAGAGGCCACCTCGGGCAGCACACCTCAGAAGCCCTGGAAGCCCAAGAAGGGGGCCGGGAGCCCCCAAGCCTCCACGCTGGCACTGGAGAACAGCATCGCCCAGCGCCTCCTGGGTGAGCCCTGGCCCCTAAGCGAGGCCCAGGTGCAGGCGTCGGTGGCAAAGGTCCTGGCAGAGCTGCTAGAGCAGGAAAGGAAGAAGGCCGCGGACGCCGCCAAGGACGGCAGCAGGAAGGGCAGCAAGCGCAAGCTGTCGGAGGACCAGACAGCTGCCAGGGCCCCCAAGAGCAAGAAGAAGAAGCAGCTGGCAGCTGGGGAAGGTGGGGTGGGTGCTGTTTGCCCAGAAAAGGCCTCCAGGACTTCCAAGGGAAAATCAAAGAGAGAGAAAGCCAGTGGTGACGGCAAGAAGAAGGAGAAGGGGCCTCCTGGCTCCCGAGGGGCCAAGGACAAGCCAGAAGGGGATCCAGGGACGGTGCCGGTTGAGGGTGGAGAGCAAAGCATCCCAAAGAGCAAGAAGGAGAAGAAGTCTGACAAGAGTGAGTGCACTCACTCCCTGGGCCCTCACCTAGGCTTCCGCCTCCCACCAGGCTGAGACGTGGCTTGTCGAGGGTCCTGGGGCAGCTCTTGGCGAGGCCAGCAGTAGATTCCAGAGCACCTAGGCCAACACTGCCAGGGAGGCACTTGTGGCTTGAAGCATAGCCTGCTTCCAGAGCCCAGAGTGCTCACTTAAAGTGTCCAGCAGTCACGTATGCTTTTAGCTGTAAGCTTCTGGAGGGTCCGTGGTCAGGCTCCAACCTGAGCAAGGACAGGGAATGATGGATGTCCTCTCCTCCTCTGGCCCAAGCTAGCAGATCTGGGAGGAACCTGCTCCTGCAGCCAGCTCCCTGGGTGCAGAGTGCACCAGGAACCAAAACACCTGAATCCTCATCCCAAGTCCTCTCTTTAGACATCAGTTTCCCCTCAGGGGTAATAGTGGCCCTTTATTGAGTTCTGTGCCAGAGTCTGCATGCAGCAGAACCTCATTTAATCCTCATCCCAGCCCGGTGCAGTAGGTGGTATTTCATTCCCATTTTCCAGGCAGAAAACCGAAGTTCAGAGAAGCTGCTCAGAATCACAGAGTTTTGCAAGGAAAGCCATATCTAAATCTAGCCAGTGTCCTTTTTAGATAAATGTGTAGGAGCTTTAAAAATGAGTTAATTTAAAGAAAAATAGTAATAATCCAGGTCATCCATGGATGGGACAGAAATGAGGCTAGCCCCCAGAGAGAGGTATAGTGTGCTGTCCCCACTGGGTGGTCCCAAAGGCTGCCAGCCTGTTTTGATGGCTCTGTGCTATGGGGAGAGCTAGGGACCCGGTATCGGGAGGAGCAGGTTCTGGGTCTCCGGAACCCTGCCCCTGCACGCCTCCGGATATTGACCCCAGCACTTGTGATTAACCTCTGTTCAGGAAGTTTTCTTTCTTCCCTCAGAAAAAAAAGACAAGGAAAAAAAAGAAAAGAAGAAAGCAAAAAAGGCCTCAACCAAAGACCCCGACACACCATTCCAGAAGAAAAAGAAGAAGAAGGTAGAGAGAGCTCCTGAGGGCTCTGGGGCCAGAAGAGAGCTGCAAGCCCTGTCCCTGGGGGGCATTTCAACTCCTTCCCTCACACCCAGGCCTGGGCCCTGGGCCCTGCCCCCTTCCATTCTGAGTGTGGTGGGGGACCTTGTGAGCTGTGACACTAGGAAGAGCCTGGAGCATGTGGAAGCCATAGAAATGACCCTGTCTCATCTTTGAGGCAGAAGGATGTTTGTGGCGGGGGGAGTGAAGGAAGGGACCGCCAGGGACAGGGAGACCAGGCAGGCTATTGCAGGTTCCAGGTGAGAGGAAACATTTCCGGGGCAGTGTGAGCCCCGGCTGGCAGGGTGTCTCCACCGAAGAGACATTCTGCCCATCTGTTGCATGAGTGTTAAGAGCTGATCCCCTGAACGGTGGGTTGTCCTTATGACCCAGGACCTCAGCACTTAGACACAGATGCAGTTCTCAGCGTGACCAGCAGGGCCTCAGGCATGGTTAGGAAAGCTGAACATCTGTTGCTGCAGGGCCCTGGGCTCCCTCCTGGGGGGCACACGAGGCATTGCCCCTGCCCTCAGGGATCCCTGCAGACTTGTTCCAGGGGAGCCACCAGTGCTCAGGCTGTGGGGGCTGCAGTGGGTGGGGAGAAGCTTCAGATATGAGAACCTCTCACACTTCTCTCCCACAGAAGAAGACAGCAGAGCAGGTTGTCTGAGGGGCACAGACTCGAGAAGCAGGTAAGCTTCTTGACCATGCAGGGTGGGAGGGCAGCTCCGGCATCCTCTGTGGTCTCAGAGAGCCGGGTAGGCCCCGAGGGAAGGGGGGCTGGAGAAAGAGTTTCCGTCCCTCAGGCACTGAGGCCAGTGGGGTAGTGGCAGTGGCCAACACCCGAGTGCTCCTGGGCCTAGGCACTGGGCAGCCTTAGGAGGCGGGCACTGGGGCAGTGGCTATTCCTAGGTGAGGTCCAGTATGGCTTGGTCTCTTCCTGGCTCCTGTCCGGTTCCTCTTCCTTATGATCTTGTATCTTGTGGATGGTTTGCAAGCACTAAAAATGTTCACCATGTGGTTGGTTAATGCCCCTCTGGTGCATCGGGGATGCCAGGTTTTATTTTCCTCGATGAAAGAAAAGGTCAGGAAATCTTAACATTAGATGTGTTTCCTTCTCCCAGGGTGACCATCCCATGCTTCTGACCTCTGCACATCATGAATTGGAACTGAATTTTTGACTTCCTCTCCCTCTGCAGAAGATGGCCAGTGTGGGGTCCCAGTGCTGGCCAAGACAGTGGCACTGCAGGGAGGCTGGGCCCAGGAGAAAGTGGGCCCAGCTCCCACGACCTCACCCCCACTCTCCCACGACATGGGATGCTTCGTATAGATGTGTACAGTATATATATTTTTATAAGTGCCCTGCCTCTTCCCCTCAAACCCAACATGCCCAAAGGCCTTGGGACTTCCCATCATTCTGCTCTGCAGACCCAGTGAGGCCCAAACTCCAGTGCACCTCATGCCACTTGGTTTCCGGCTACTCCGAGGCTTTGTCCTCCTGTCAGTTTTCCCAGATGTGTGTGTTCGTGGGTTTTTTTTAAGAACTCAGAAAATAAAAGACTTGAAGGAAACATTCAAATTCCCAGTGCATCTGAGGCAAACGTTTTGCAATTGGCTTACTCTTGGAGGGTACAGTCTGGCTGACACCTGGAGGTAAACAGACCAAAACAGGATTCCTCCTTGACTGCATGTCAATGCTGTGGGGTACAGTGGTGAATGCGACAGACAGTTTGCCAGAGAAGGATTCAATTAGTAGGAAAGGCTTCCTGGAGGAGGTTGCATCTAAGCTAAAAGGGACCTCAAAGATCTGTGGTTGGTTTCTGGATGCCAGAGTAGGTCATGCGACTACCCAGAGGCAAGAAATGGAAGGGTGCCTTGGGAACCATCTTTTAGAGTTGGGACTTGAGCTGGGGGCAAGCTCTCTTAAGATAGTCATGGAGAATAGCTGTAGTGGGCACAGGAGAGCCAGTTAACAGTTGCCCTCATGTCCAGATAACGATGGTTCTGTGGCAATGAAGGCAAGAAGTGAATGAACTCAAAGGACATGTTGGGGTGACATCTATAGGACTTGGTGATGTCTTGGGTGCAAACTGAGGGAGGGGAGGGTAGCAAGGGATGTGTCTCCTGCTGCTCCAACCTGGAAGTGCGAAGGCCCACGTCCCTGGGCACAGAGCAGCATGGAGCACCAGAGGTCATGGAGGCTTCTCCAAGGCTTTTAGCCTCTTGCTAGAGACAGCCAGAGGAAGTGCAGTAAAAGAATGCTGGGCTGGAGGTCTTGGAGACACAGCTTGGCATCCAGCTGTGCCCTTAACATGCGGCCTTGGGCCAGGTTTTCCCCTCTGGTAGCCTCTCTCTGCCCTACAAGTGTGTTGGCCTACAGCAGAGACTGCAGAATAGTGTCCTCTGGGTTTTGTGGACCCATGGCAATTTCACTGAAGATCTGGATTTCTGGCCTCTCTTGAAAAGTCAACAAATCTGGCAATAGGGGCCTGCACTCCCTCCTGGCAACAAGTGGCCACAGCTGAGTAGCAGTCAGCTCCTTAGGTAGGGCATGGGCGCCCAGTTTTGCACAGTCCCCCCCACTTCCTGTTCAGCCCTGCCACTGAGGCCCATGTCGGTTGCCATCTGTCATCACACTTGTACTGTTCTTAGTATAGAAATAAAATTAGGGGCATGGGAAAATGAAAGCTGGACCAAGAGGAGCTTGTACTTAAAGAGCCTATTTCTTTTTTGGAAGTAAAGAGTTTATATGTGTTAAACATGCAACCAAGTGTATCTGTGTCCAAAGACTACAGCCCCTTGGCCCTGCCTGGCCCCACAGGCATCCGTCTTTGGGCTCCTTGGGCCACGTTTTGCCACCTGATGACTGGGTTTAAGGTCTTCAGTTACCTCCTTGGGGTAAACAAACTGGATCCCAGCAGAAGAGCCAGAGTGTTCTACTCACTACCCTTTATTCTTACATGAGCCATGCCATGAGGGCTGATGACAAGCTTGGCCAAGCACAGGGAACGGGGGCTGGCAGGAAGTGGGGAGAGGCTGGGTTCTTCCTGGGGAGTGATGCTGGGGAAGGGAAGAGAGTGGCTCTTCCCCCAGGTAAATGGGCTGAAAAAGCCGAGGCCAAAGGCCATCAGGGGAGAAGACAGCAAATGTGTCAGCCTGGGGTTTAGGGGCAGGTTTGTCCCATCTCCCTGTGCCTTCGCACTTTGTCCATGGGCTTAGATCTTGGAAACCCACGTTGGAGGCTGCTGTGATGTCAGAAACGGGTCTGCTTAGCTTTTGGCCCACCTTCTTAGGCCTCAAGTCCCTGTTGACAGATGGGGGGTGGGCAGCAGGGACCTCCTCCATCATTATCTGTGCTGTTCAGACTCCACTTGTCACATCCAAGGAAGATGGAGAAACAGGCACCAGGGTCTCATGGAATGAGGTGTGGGCTGAGAGGGGGTGTGGGGGTGTAAGGGGAGGGGGAGGGCTGGGACTGGGGCAGAGGGGAGCAAGAAAGCTGTGGCCATGCGGGCTGGCTGAGTGCTGGAGACTGCCTCCGCTGTCCTCACATGATGACTGTGGAGAAAGAAGCAGCAGGTTAGGGTTGGGGTCTCTCGTTGGTTGTCCCTGCCCCTTCCCAGCACCCTGGGGCCACAGAGCAGCCAAGGACTCTCCGCCCTCAACTGCCTCCTGCTGGGGTACAAGTACTGATCATCGTGGACTCATGTAGCCCCCCAACCCTTTCTCATCTGTGAAATGGTCATCCCAGGGATGTCAGAGATGGCTCAGGGTCATGCTGAGCTGGGCATCTGCCCATGAGGGTGCTGGCCCCACTGGATGAACTTCTGCAGACCAGATCCCCTCTGCAGGGCCCTTCCTTACCTTGGCCCTGTTCCGGCTTGGTCACACCCAGCCCAGAAGACGGGTCCTCCATTTCCAGTGGCTCTGCAAAGGAGCAGCAAATCCATCTGTTAGTTGCCGCTCAGTCTCCCCCACCATTGGCAAGGCACCCCGTGGGCCTTCCTTCCCAAACTAGCCTCAGGCCTAGTGCCACAATGGAGAAGTGTGGTTGGGGGCCTGGGTGAGCCATGCCAAGGGAGGGGTGGTGAAATGAGGTGGGTGGATGCAGAGGACAGCTGGAGGCAGGAGGAAGGCGTGTGGATGGTGGAAGTCACAGATGGAAGGACTGAAGGACTAATGAACAAATAGATGAAAGGGATGCAGATGGTATGGTGGATGGACAAAGGGCTGGATGCATGGCTGACAGCGGCTGCCCTGGCCCCAGGTGCTCCAGGAAGGACCTCTTGCCCCTCAGCCTTCCTAGTCCTTCCTCGTCCTTTGACACTCGCTGGCATGGTGGCTACTGCTTACCACTGCAATTATGGCGCCCACGGCTCCTGGTGTGGGGGACCTCGGTGCCGTTGGGGAAGACGCACCAGCAGTAGCCAATGCTCCCATAGCACTGCAGCGGCATATAGTTGCCATCCTCGTCGCACTTGGGACTGAACATGCCCGGGTGGACGGCGGGGATGTGGCTGACCTCTTCCTGGCACTTGGTTAGTACTGAAGTGACAGGTATGATGAAGACACAGTGAGTGAGTGTGCTCTGGGCCGGGGTCTCAGCAGAGCCAGAGACTCACACACCACGGCTGTGGGCCTAATGCTTTCTGCCCAAGTGGATTTACTCACTCAACCCATTGGACAGATTGGAAAACTGAGGCCCAAGGCCTAGAGCAACAAGGTCCAGGATCAAAGAGGAAGTGAATGGTTATGTGGCTAGTTCAACCCAGAACTTAACTATTTCTTCTGATCCTCCAAGCCCATTAAGTTTTGGGATTGCACCTATGATTCTGAATTCTAGAGAAAAGCAATGGACATCGTGGCAAGTATAAGCTTCCTGTTACTGGGACTTCCCAAGTGTAAATAGGGGTTACCATTTGTAGGGAGTGTTGTAGAGGGGATTCGCACATCAGCTAGAAGTTGGTTGAGAGCATACAAGCTGCCTTCTATGAATCTGATGGAGAAACTGAGGCCTGGGGCAGGGTGGGCTGTTGACCTTCCACTTGAAGACACTGAAGCCCAGAGGGAAGAGATTTGCCCAAAGTTGCACAGCAAATTAAAGACAGCACCAGGATGAGAACACAACACTCTTGAAGGCTTTAGGGCTAAAACATGAGGTGGGAGACACCCAAGGCCCTCTTATCCAGCATTCACTGGCTATGTGACCTCGGCCCCTCACTGGAACTGCAAAGGTAATGCTGGGGAGTGTCAGGACAAGGATTCCCGCCTGGTGTGTTTCAGGTTGGTTTTGCTCCAGGCCGCCTTGCCCAGTGCTGTCCTCCACAAGAGAGGTCACCCCATGAAAGGAGGCCTCTGTACCCTGTAGGCCCCTGTGGTGTGAGAACAGACCCACAAACAGGAGCAGGGCAGAGGGGCAGCCGAGCTCAGGAGGAATAAGGAAGAGAGACAAGTGAGAGTTGAGAGCAGGTGGGAGATTGCTGTGGAGCTTGGATCGGGGAGTGCTGAAGGCCCTACCCCAGTAGCTCCAGAAGAGCTCCAAGGGAGCTCCCAGAGCCCTAGCACCCCAAAGCTCCCACTCCCTGTACCTTTTGTCGGAGCCTCAGTGGGCATTTTCTCCTGAGAGTTCTTGCTCATTTCGAACAAGAGCCAGTAATGCATCCAGCTCTCAAAGACCTAATGGAGATAGAGGAGGGGGTCAGGCTCAATAGCTATCACCAAGCCCCTACACTGCCTGGCTTTGCCCCTGGGGACAGAAACATGGAGCACCAAACGGCCCAACAGCCAGAATCCAACTGCAGCCTGCTTCCCCCTAAAAAACCCACAAAGCTTTGTCCGGGTGGTTCTTCAGCTCCAGGCACTCTTCCAGGTCTGAGGCTTTGTAAGTATTGGTAAGAACCCACCAGCATCTCGAGGATGGTTTCCCTGGCACACCCCTCACCCCACTTCTTCCCAGTCTTGCCCAAGATATTGGGAGAAAGAGAGTTCCAATGCTGGGAAGCCTACCCACCTTCCAGTCCGGGTTCTCCATGGTGCTCTTAAGGTGTTTCAGGTTCTCTAGGAAGGTCCCCTTCAGCTGCGGGTACACCTTCAGGGGGTCAGCCTTCTGCAGGGGGCAGGGCAGGAAAGAAGGTTAAAAAGAGCTCCCTGGCAGGCAATGTGAAATGTGCAGCTCATGTACCCTTGGTCTTCCATTCTGAGGAGTGGACCCAAGCTGCACCAAGCCTGGACCCTGGACCTCAGCCATGATGGGAGGGAAGGGGATAAGGGCAGTCCAGCTGTATTGTTACAAAACCCCAGTATGCAAGTTGGGTTCTGAGGTTCCAGGTTCCTGTCCAACTCCACCAATAACCCCCAGTCTTCTACTGAAGATGCCTACTTATCTTTCAGGTCTCACCTCCTCCAGGAAGACTTCCTTGACCACTCCCAACTAGGTTGGTTCATCTGCCTCTTTTCTTACAAAGCCCCCTGCACTTCCCTCATCACCTGGTCACTTGTTTGTCTCCCACACTAGCCTGGGATCCCCACAGCTCCAGGAGCTGGGTCCAGTTGCTCACCATTGTGGGCCCAGAGCTTTGCACAGTGCCTGGCACAGAGTAGACATGCAGTAAAAGTTTGGGAAGGAAAAAACGGTGTATCTTGAGTAAGTCACTTTCAAGTTTTTGGCTTCAGTTTCTCCATCTCAAAAATGAGAGGAGGCTGCACTATGTATAACATTTAGGGACATGCTTGCGTCCCTTCGATAATCCAGGGAGAGTGTGTTGAAAGTCTATAGTGAGCCAGGCACAGTGTAGGCCTTGGAGCTCAGCCTTGCTGGATGCTGGGTAGGCAGGCAGGGCCACTTGGCTGGCTCCCCTGCACTCACCAGGAGCAGGTGCATCACGTGATCCTGTGTCATATTTCCGTACTTGGTGGCATTCTGTGTGGGCTGTGGAAGGAAGAAAAAGAGGGTTACCAGCATTGTCCGAGGAGGGTCCTGGAGCAGGAGCCAGCATCTGAGGTCTGGATAAGAGTCTGGAGTCACAGGCACTTCTGGGCCCATCTTTGCTACCTCCAAACATGAGAGCTCAAGCAAGTCACTTTTCCTTCCTGCCTCAGTGTCCTCACTGGTCAAACTGGCATAAGCTTTCCTGCCCAGAGCTTTGTCAACAGCAAATAGTTTCATGAACAGATACATTACCAATATGCAATATCAAGGGTTTTGTGAGTGGGAGGGGACTGTAAGATGCTGTGGAAATGAGAAGCACTTTGTAAACTGCGGAGGGCTGGGCCCTCCTACCAGGGATGGCCCCAAGGTGCTCTCTCTGCCCACCCCCCGGGGAGCCCTCTTTTCCTGAGCTGGGTCTTACTCTTCCTCCACTGGGCTTTTCCTGGGCCAGCTGTCCCCCACCTCTCCCCTTGGCACCCGTCTTCCATCCAGGCTAGGTTACATTTCCCCCTCCCACCGCACTAGGGCTGTCCTTACCCCTTGGGACAGGCCTTCCATGGGCAGGGCCTGCATCATCAGGGGGGCGGCCATCCGCATCTTGCTCACAGGCTTGGCAGCTGTGGGGGCAGGAACACAGCATGAGTGTGGTCCCAGTGCCCAGAGACTGAGAGCTTAGACCAGATGGGGAGGAGCTGGAACTCCAGACCAGAGGAGGAGGACAGTGAGCCCAGCTGGTGCACAAATGGGGATCTCATGTGAGGGACAGTGGCCCAGGGGGTAGGGGGAATGTCAGGATGGAGGTGGAGCACTCACGCTTCGGAAGCTTCATGCGCAGGTTCTCCAGCTGCAGGTTCTGTGAAGTGACCGTCAGCTTGTCCAGACGGCCCTGCTGCTGGTACAGGAAGTAGGCGGTGGTGGCTTGGCCAGCCAGGAGCAGAGCCACCAGGACGGAAAAGCCTGTGTACAGTGCTCCACGGCTGCAGTTGCTGTTGGCAGGGGGTTGGGGGATAAGTCAGAGGAGAATCCATGGAGGTGGCTGCTCCATGGGCTGGCTGGGAGCGGAGGAATGTATCCCCCCATCTCCATCAGCCCCCTAAGCACAGACTTTAAGCACAAACAATAAGCTGACTATGGAAATGCAACTTGAAGACATTCCCCCAACCCCCTACTTCCAACCATTGGTGGCCCTAAAGTCCTCGTGAGTAGAAATCCTGCAGCTGCCTCTGGGTCTAGGTTAAATGGGGAAGAGCCAAGAGACAAGTTCCTTGTCCTCTCTGGGCTTTGATGTCCCACCTGTGCAATGAGGGGTTGAGGTAAAGGGTCTCCCTCTACCATGGGGAATTTCCTGAAGATCAGGGCTCCCCTCAAGGGAGAAGGGTTTTGTTTTTTTTAAGTGGCACACAAAAAATCGTACGTATTTACCGTGTAAGGGGAAGGGGGTTTTCACCCCTCTACCCAGCCCCCAACCCCCGCAGTGAAATCAGATTGAAGGAGAAAAGGGAAGGAAGTGAGACTGGAACAGCAGAGAAGGTGACCCACCTAAAAAGGAGAAGTGAGACCTTGACATTTTAGGAGTGGGTTGGGGAAGCACTTGACAATGTCAAGCTGGAGCAGGGCCAGGCACTACCCTCTCCAGGGGCACATCCCCGGTCCTGGACTCTCCATGTGTCTTTGAGCAAATGCCCCTCCAGTCTCTGGGCTTCAATTCCCTCATCTGTCACATGGGTACTGCTCACCTCAGCCATTCTAGGATTTGGTGGTTTTCTTCTTTGAAGCAAGACCTGACTGTGATCACAGAAGTATCCTGAATGGTAACATCCAGCTGGGGGGATTTTGACAGGAGTATAGGTACCTGAGCTTGTGTGACCTGGGTGAATTCTCAGGCTCTCTGGACTGGCCATCTACACAATGACGGTAGCCAGACCTTCAAACCTCAGAGAGCCCTTGTAGCTGTGGGCCCTGGGTGCAGTCTGCGGGTGCATGCACATGTTACAGTAGGTAGATGTAAGGGCCCTGAGAGTTCCTGACCTGCTCTCTCTTGATTATCCCAAGGTGGTACTACTAGGTCCCTGCTATGGTTTGAATATATCCCCTCCAAAATTCAGGGGACAAATGTGTCACCAATATACTGATGTTAGGAGGTAGGGCCTTTGTGAGGTGATTGGACCATGAGGATTCCTCCCTCATGAATGGGATTTGGTGCCCTTGTAAGAGGGCTTGACAGAGGAAGTTGATTCTCTCTTCCCAAACTGCCATGTGAGGACCTAGCAATAAAGACCTCACCAGATGTCTGCACCTGGATCCTGGACTTCCCAGCTTCCAGAACTATGAGAAATAAATGTTTGTCTTTATAAATTACCCGGTCTGTGGTGTTCTGTTATAGCAGCACAAAAGAGATTAATATCCCATTGGATATTGTCAGAATGAGACTGCACCCTGATTACTGCAACAACCAGCGAGGATGATTTAGAAAACTCCAGGAGACCCTTCTGCCTAGTAACTCACGACATCACAGACACAACTCACTCTCACTGGCTCTCTGCCTGCCAGCCCTCATAGGTTTCTGGGCCAAGGCCCAGCCCAAGGGAGAATTCTTCTGGAAGGAAAAAGCAAAAATTCTGCTTGTGAAAGAGAAGAGATAAGAAAGGAGGGGAAAACACATTCCACTTCTTGGCCTTCCCAAGGAATAGGGGTGGCCTCTAAAGGCAGTGAAAGTTCACCCGTCTTCAGTCCTGCCTGTTCAAGCTCTCCAGCCTCACACTCACCCCTTCTGCCACCCCACACCCAGTTCTAGTCCCAGCTCTACCATCCCCCGTGGAAACTTGGGGGAGTCCTTTCCCCTCTCTGAACCTCAGTTTCTCAGGAGGCCTAAGAATCTAGATTGGCCAGGTAGCTCAATTGGGTAGAGCGCAGTGTTATTAACACCAAGGTTGAGGGTTCAGATCCTTCATGCCAACCAGCTGCCAAAATAAATAAACAAATAAAAAATAATTAATTGCATTTGGGCTGGCCTGTTGGCTCAGTTGGTTAGAGCACAGCCTCATAACATCAAGGTCATGGATTCAGGTCCCTGTACTAGCCAGCTGCCAAAAAAAAAAAAAAAAAATAGAATCTAGAAATTAATATTAAAGATGAGACCATGCAACCTGGATTGGAGTCCTGGCTCTGCCACTTGTTTAGCTCGAGGACCATGGGCAAGTCACTTAATCCCTCTGTGTAAGTAAAATCAGGTAAGAATATCTATTCAAAGCGTTGTTACATCAAGTAAGATAATGAGGGTAGAGCTCATGGCTCAGTACCTAGCACACTGTTAGCGCTCTATTAATAATAACACTTAGTACTGTTCTCAGGGGAGTTAATAGTCAACTTTAGCATCTGGTTTCCTTCCTCTTTATGTATCTTGAATACCTGTCCCCTGCTCCTGGTAGAGTGCCAACTCTTGTCACGGCCTCTCTTTATTTCCTCCTTTGCACTGCCTCCCACTGGAATTTTAACAAAATGTAATTGGCCAAAGTCAGGAGCCAACCAGAACTAGCAGGAATCATGATACAAGTGTTGCCAGGCAGAAGTGTTCAGGAAAGGCTCCAAAACAGGGTCAAGTCTGGAATGGCCTGAGCACACAGTGTGGGGCTAGTTTTAGAAGCAGTAAGAACTAAAATGAAAACCAGACAAGGATTTGATGAGGAGGCACCTTCTCTGAACACTGAGTTCACTCTGGGTCTGCACTTCACTGGATGGTCTGAGCTCAGAGGGGCCCCACATCCCCTCCCTGCAAATTGCACCTGTAAAAGGGAGCCAGAAGGAGAAGTGAGCTCAAACTTTGAAATCAGACTAGTCCTGGGTTCAAATTCAAATTCTGCCTCCAACTCACTCACTAGCTGTGATAACTTGGGTAAGTCACTTTCCAATACGAGTGTCAATTTCCTCTTCTGTAAAAATGGGGATAATAAAAGTACCCGACTCTTACGGTGACAGTGAGAATTAGGATTGAGTTTAGCCTTTAGTTATGTGTCAAGCACATAATCATAGTAACAACTATCAGTGGCTGAGGACTGGTGACGGGTTTATAGTGGATGAGGACTATTATCATGACTTTTGTTGTTATTATTACTGAGACCCAGAGAGAGGCAGTGATTTATCCCAGGTCACATGTGACCACAGCAGAACTTGGACCTGAATCCAGTTCTCATAAGTGAGTCGGTGCTCCTCGCCATGGAATTCCCCAGGATTTTCATAGGCCACTGCTTTAATGGTCTACATCTGGTTACCTTGTCCTCCAGAACACAGCTCCTCATGATGTCTCTCCCAAACCCCTCTCTGCCTGGCAACAGCTGACATCACAATTATCTGTAGGTCCCCATAGATTGCAAATTACTTCTTGGAGACTGGCAGGGAGCAGGGGCATTGTGGTAGCCCCTTTGGGGGCTACGGGGGAACATACAGGTGAGGCCATTTGGGGGCTGGAAGAGGGGACCCAGGGTCCTCTGGATTGCTGTGCTGGCCTCTTGCTGCAAGAGGGAATGGCATAGACAGGGGTACAACCCACATCGACCTTGAGCTCCTTCCAGAAACTTAGCCAGAGCCCCTCACTCTTTTTGACCCCCTCCCAACATCTCTCAATCCCTCCATCTATTATACAGACACCTGCAACTATAATTCCCTTGCTACAAACACCTGTACCCGTACATGGTAATTAGGTGGAAACTCTATAAGGAGCTGCTTTTACCATTCTCTTTTCAGTAAACTCTATTTCTCTAATGGGATCTAGAACATTTTCAAACTCTGGTCCAAAGTTTCGAACCTAGGTTTCATGGCTCAGCTTCAGTGGGGTCTGTGAAGCCCCTGACATTATGGGAATCTCTAGGGAGAGAATCAGAGCCCTCTTCCTATTTTCAGAAGTAAAGCTTACAAAGCCCTGCTCTAAAGTAGTCCCCACATTTTACAGGAGAGGGAACCAAAGCCTAGAGCGGGCCAGAGACTTGCTCAAAATCACCCAAAAAGTCAGTTTGAGTCAGAGCCTGAATCCATCCTTCCTATGACTCCCAGCCAGTGTTCCTTCCTGGCACCTGTGCACACCGGTGCAGTCCAGATCTGTGTGCTCTTCCCTGGAGCTCACACATACCTCTCCGTGGCTCTAGGGCGCTGGCCCAGCATGGGCACTTGCTCATGGTTGGAGATAAGGTCACGCTGGTCTTCCATGGCTCTGGACTCTGGTCTTCCCCACAGCTCCCGCTGCTGCTGCTGCTGCTGCTGCTGCTGCTGCCGCCTGCGTGTCTGGGACCCTGAACCCTGGCTCATTACTTGAAGTTGGTGCAGGGGAGGAATCTGATTCGTCCACAGGAGGCCACTCCGCCCACCTAGAGATGTGGAAGTGAAAGCCACAAAGCTGGAAATACCCCACTTGGGCAAAGCTGCCTTTCAGGGGACAGGATGAGGAGGGGGAGCCCCCCAGGCAGGTAGTAGAAAGGCCAGTGCGATCCCATTGGCTGCCCAGGGCTCTTATCACTTGTTTCTGGGCAGACCTTTGGATTCATAAGGCTCTTTGGATGTTTCAAAAAACAGGCAAATGTTCACCCCCTAGACAGGAAATCACTTTGAAGCAGACAATGCCTTTGTTTGTCTCCCCTCTTCATCCACAGATGGATGGGTACAGAATGGGGCTGCACACCCTCTGGGAGCTTAGACAAGTCCTCTTCTCTCTAGCCTCAGTATATCATCTCAGAAACGAGGAGGAAGGCTGGACGTAGTGTCCCCTCCGCTCCCTTCTAACTGGAGCATTTTATAAACGTAGGAGGCCATGATTTTAAGGCTCTGGTACTAACACTTGCCACCACTGACTAAGCCTCCTTGGTGCCAGGCACCGTGCGGACATGCTTTGTTTCATGCAATCTTTACAGCGGCCCTTTGAGGAGTGTTTTATTACATCATCTCCATTTACAGAGAGGGACATGAGCCTTTGGGAGACTATGTGCTTGCCCAGGGTCCTATGTCCAGGAAGTGTGGGGCCCATGTTTTAACCATTCTACTCTCCACCGCCTAATGCTCAAGTTGCGTGGTTCTCATCCTGGAGAGTGGGGCCCCTGCAGGAAGGGAAGAAGGAAGGATTGGGAAAGGGTGCCCAGGGGAGATTTAACTGTGTTGATGGGGTTTTATTGCTTCATATCTGTAGTTTGTATACTGTGACATAATAAAAAAATATATTTGGTCTCTGCCTCTGGTTTCCCGACACTAGAGCTACTAAGACCCTTGGAATCTCTGGAGCAATGAGTGTCTTTTTGTATGTTAATGAGATGGCTGGTGGCTGAAAGCTCCTAGATAGCTTCAGGTTGGGGGCTGATTGCCAAGGGAACCAACCATGAGAATGTTGGGTCTTTCAGATCCTCACCCCCACCAACCTCACCCCATCTTTCAGGAAGGGGAGAGAGGCTGAAGATTGAGTTCAGTCACCAATGGCCAATGATTTAATCAATTATGTCTACATAATGGAACCTCCATAAAAACCCTAAGACAGGGTTTTGAGAGCTTCTGGGTCAATGAATGTGTCCCTGTGCCAGGAGGGTGGTGCACCCCCAACTCCACAGGGACAGAAGACCCTTCCCACATACCTTGTCCTATGTCCCTCTTCGTCTGGCTGTTCATCTATATCCTTTATAATAAACCAGTAATAGTAAGCAAAGTGTTCCCCTGACTTTTCTGAGTCCTTTTAGCAATTTATTAAACATGAAGAGAGGGTCACGGGAACCCCCGATTTGTAGCCAAGTTGGTCAGAATTACTGGAGGCCCAAGACTTGCAACAGGCATCTGAAGTGTGGGCAGTCTTGTGGGACTAGGGCCTTAACCCATGAGATCTGATGCTAACCCCAGGTAGATAGTGTCAGAATTGAATTGAATTGTAGGATGCCCGGTTGGTGCCTAGAGTCATAGAACTGGTATGGTGTGGGGAAAAAAAACCCACATTTGGTGTCAGAAGTGTTGTGAGTGTAAAGAAACAAGGGCTGGCCGGTTAGCTCAGTTGGTTAGAGTGTGGTGTTATAACCCCAAGGTCAAATGTTTGGACCCCTATACTGGCCAGCTGCCAAAACCAAAAAAGAAATGTTTCCTTTTATATACCATATTTGTCGTAAAGAAACAAGGGCTGGCCGGTTAGCTCAGTTGGTTAGAGTGTGGTGTTATAACCCCAAGGTCAAATGTTTGGATCCCTATACTGGCCAGCTGCCAAAACCAAAAAAGAAATGTTTCCTTTTATATACCATATTTGTTTTATTAATCTATGTATTTTGTGAGTTTTAAAATTTGCATTAATAAACTTTATCTTTTTAATTTAGACTTTGTGATTTCAAGATTCAATGAGTCTTGAATGCCAAGAGTCAAGGGAGATAGTATATGTATTCTGGGAGGAGAGAGAAGAGCAGATATGGCCTTTGATGCAGCCAGATCTGAGTTCAAATCCCAAGTCCTAAACATCCTGGCTGTGTGACCTGAATCAGCTCCTCAACCTTTCTGAGTCTGCTCTCCCCTTTGCAAAGTAAGGATTATGATAGTAACCTTGCAGAGCTGTTAGAATAAATAAAAATTGGGCACACAGCCAAGAAGATGCTCAAGAAATGAACTGTTATTATTCAAATATTTACTGTTAAGATATTTTCTGGATAATCAAGACAAATAAAATCATATATCCACACAAAAACTTGCACATGAATGAATGTTCATAGCACCATTATTCATAATATCCAAAAAGTAAAAACAATCCAGATATCCATCAACTGATAAGTGGGTAGACAAATGTGGTATATCCATATAATGGAATATTATTCTGTCATACAGAGGAATGAATATATCCATAAAACTGTTATAAAAAATAAAATAAAATAAAATAAAATAAAGAATAGGGCTGGCCAATTGGTTAAAGCGTGGAGTTTATATAACACCAAGGTCCTGGATTTAATCCTTGTTACTGGCTAGCCACCAAGATAAAAAATAAAGAAATAAATAAAAATAAAGGAATAAAGTACTGATTCATGGCACAACATGCTGAACCTTGAAAACATTATGTTAAGTGAAATAAGCCAGACACAAAAGGCTACATATTGTATGATTCCATTTATGTGAAGTGTCCAAAACAGGCTAATCCTTTAGGGACAGAAAGATTAATGGTTGCCAGGGGGTGGGGGAGAAGGGGACGGGGAGTGGTGGCTAATGTGCACAGGGTTTCCTTTCGGGTGATGAAAATACTCTGGAATTAGTGTTGATGATGCATGACTTTGTGGATACAAGGAAAACAATTGAATTGTACAATCGTAAAAGGGCGAATGTTATGATACATGAATTATATCTCAATTTTTAAAAACATTGTAATGGTGGGTAGAATGCACATTTACTTTTGCTTCCTCTCTCACTGCTTCTGTTACATTGACAATAGATCTTTTTTCTTTTTTTATTGAAATATAATCGATTATACGTATTTGTAGGGTACAGAGTTGAATATCAATACCTGTGTGTAATGTGTGATGATCAAATCAGGAGAATTAGCATATTCATCATCACAGAACATAATCGTTTCATTGTGTTGAGGACATTCTACCTCCTCTCTTCCAGCCATTTGATAACATGCAGTACATTAACGTTAATTATAGCTGCCTAGCTCAGGCAATAGATTTTCTAAAAAGTGTAAATCTATAAGGTTAAATAGAACAGAAAACAACAAAAGAATTTTACAAGCTGGAAAGCAGACGGATTAGTGTTAAGTCCCTTAGCAGACCTAAAAAAGCTGAATCCTAAATTTGCAGCTAGAAAAGCTGAGAAGCCACTTATTACGTGGCAGTCCAGACTCTATGGAATTACTATGACAAGTACCTGGGTGGTGAGTACAGGTAGGACTAAAAAGAGAAGGATTGTTCGGAAGTCTGTTTATAATGAGTACAGGTGGGGCTAAAAAGAGAAGGATTGTTTGGAAGTCTGTTTATAAAACAGTTGGATACCCACGTCCTCTCCCTCCCTGAGTTCCTTTTCCCCTCCCTGAGAGAAGACTGGGTGGAAGTGTTTTCCCTACGCACAGCAGGGCGGGAGCCCTGTACTGAAACTGGGAATCCCAGTCTTCACCACTACTGAGAATGCCAGAAGCCAGGCCTTCTCCCTCCATGCAACAGGCTGGAGGAAACTTCTCCGGGGAGCATGACCACCCCAGGAGGAAAGACCTAAAGCTTCTGACTTTGGGAGTTCCTTGATGAAGCGAACTAACCTGATGACCCTATAGCAGGTGGATGAGCCCTACTCATGGGTCACAGCTTCCACTCAGCTTTTTTGACAATCAAGAATCATGGGACATCTAAAGAAAGCCTTTAACATAAAAGAGAGTGAACAAAACAAATAACCAAATGGAAAAGAGAACCACAGAGGAACAAACTGTCATCAATAGCCTTAGGGTGATAAAGGATGACACTGCCTCCATGAAACAAGAACAGGATGCTACAGAGGCATAAGTATTATAGAAAAAGAAAAAAACAGCTTTTGAAGATTAGAAATACAAGGGCAGATATTAAACCATCAGTAAATGGAAGATAGCTTTTTTTTAATCTCCCAGAAAGTAGACCACAAAGATAGAAAGAAAAATATCAGACAGCAAAGATAAGAGAATTAAAGATGAGTCCAGGAGGCCCAACAGCCAAAGGTCAGAATTCCAGAAATAGAGAACAGAGAAAATAGAGAGGAAGAAATCACCAGTGAAATAATGCATTATTTCTCCAGAACTCAAGGACATAAATTTCCAAGCTGAAAGGGCCCAGTGTGTACCAAGAACAAGATATGAAAATAATTTCACAGCAAGGTACGTCACCATGAAGTTTCAGAAAAATAAAGACAAAGAGACGATTCTATAAATTTCCAGAAAGGAAAAACAAGACAGATACAAAGGATCAAAAATCAAAATGACTTTAGACTTCTTAAGAGTAACCCTGGAAACCAGAAGACAAATGGAGCAATGGACTTCAAAACTCTGTGGAAAAATTATTTCTACCCTGGAATCTTTACTGAGCCTAATTATCAAATGTGTATAAGGGTATCATTAAGATATTTTCAGACATCTTGTATCTTAAAAACATTTCTTTCCATATGCCCTTTCTCAGAAAGCTTCAGGATAGTAGGCTCCTTCCTAATGAATCAAGTTCACTAAGCAAAAAGGATGACCTGGGATACAGGAAACTAAAGCTCAACCCCAAACAAGAAATAGTCAAATAAAAAAATAAAATTAAAAAGTTAAAAAAAATTTAAAAATAAAGTTCAACCCCTGAGAGGGAATGGGGAGCCGCAGGATGCTAGTAGAGAGAAATCCCGGGAGTAAGGCGACAGGTCCAGACTGGATCAGGCCCAAAGGCTCTGAAAGACACTTCTTCAACAAGATA